TTTATTATTAAAAATTGTACTTAGTTGCACTATTTAAAAAAACAGTATAAAGAAATAGTAATGTAGAAAACAAATTACTTTTTATTTTAACCAATTACTTTTGAGCGTTTATTCTTTGTGGTCTGTGTCAACGGGTGTGTAACAGGGGTGTGCTCTTTCCCTAGAAAATACAACAAGAATTACACCTGAATTAATCAGTCGATTTTTTCCACCACTTAATTTCATGTATGTTAGCAATCAATAATTTAGGCGATGGTTTTGCATTTCCAGAAATACTGTATATACACGGCTGTTAAATAGCTCATACTATAAATGTATACAGTTTTGTCCATGAGAGAGACGTTTGAGAGACCTTTGGTATTACAGTGAGAGGCTAGGAACTGCAGTATTTCTCAATGTCAGACATTCACCTGCAAGGTGAATATGTACAGCAGCAATGTCACTGTTCAGTCTACTCATTGGGTAGGTGTGCAGTTTATTTATTTTTACAAGAGCACCCAAGTACCCATGGTCCTGACTGTGCTTAATAACACAAGAGTCATGGTGTTTCACCCATCCAGCTTTTATGCACTGCTAGTGTCCACTGAAACTTTAATGTTTTGGCAAGTGCAGTGTACATCTAAATAAGTCATTTTCACAGTCTTATGTTCCTCACTCCACTTTAAAGAACCCTAAAATCAGCAACTGAAAGGAACACTCAAAATCTATTTAATACTGAGTCAACAACAGTCAAGGACAGACAGGTCAAAAGACAAACCCCTTATATCACCCATAGTCTTCATTCAGTGGTTGGATATCCACTGACCCAACCTCCCTGAGGGTAGACTATCTGAACAGAGCACCAAAGACTTGTACACTTGACTTGGCCAATAAAGGTTTATGTCAATAGAAAGGGGAAGTCTGAGGAAGAGGCTGGTACTTTCCAAAGGGGGAATAGGTTTTCTGCCCTAATATTTCCCTGCACCCAGCATAGGAGGGACCAACCAGCAGTGTCTATGGCCCAATAGACCAAGTGTCTCTGAATGCATTAGAGCATTGCCTGATCTGGCTAAAAACGGTCAGACAGAGTGACTGTTGACCCACTGTCTACAGGTACTGAATATGAGCAAACATACTACTAATAGGTAGTGAGAACCAGCACAAAGTCAAGACATACTGATCCCAAAAGCATCTCAAACTGATCTTAAATGCATGCTGATTTCTGCAAAAAGCCCTACAACACAAGCCCTTACACAGATTTTAAAGCACTAGTAATGCTTTCAGATACCTTAAAAATTAACCTTACCAATTCTAATCATTCAGATTTACTGAGCAACAAAAGATTCCCCCAAACAATTACAAATTCTGTAAACATCAAAGGCCTATGTATAAAAATAAGTGAACAAGCGTTTTTCACCTTACTTTGTCTTATTTTCGAGTAGATACATGTTCAAAATGGAAAGTTGTTTTGTCAAAATTAAATGACAATACTGTAAAAGGGTAGGTTGTCAACAATAAAAATGGCAAAAACCCACACTGAAATAAAAAAAACTGTCACCTTGAGTTCTTTCTCCAGCATTCCATCACTAAAAATAATGGATTATCTCTAGTTTAGGTTGCTGTAAATTAGCTGCAAAACTTTCTTGGCAGCTCAGATGTAGAGAATTCAGCAGTAAAGTAAGGACCAGTAAAGGTGTACTCGGAGCTAGACAGAGGGGTAGACAAGGGAAACGGCTGCCTTGGATACTTTAGCAGGAGGGGAGAGCAAAAAGACCTACAACCTATGCTGCTGAGGTAGTTCACAGCTCATGGTGGGGGCGCCCTTTGTCCTTTTTCCCTTGGGTGTTAGCATTTGGTGTACCTAGCAACTTAGGTGTACAATAAAGGGAGCCTGACAAAGAAAATTTCTAGGAATGCCCATGAAGCTTTGTACCATGACCTAGTTAAAGTGACATAAGCAATAGTTCCTACCGTAACTGGTGAGGCAGTAACTTCAGAATTATAACTAGACGCCTTATGTTGGGATTATCTGACTGTCTCAAACATAACAAAACCTTAGGAACGCGAACTGATCATTTAAATGTAGTGCCCCCCTGACCATAGAAGCATGGTGGCACCTCCACAGAAAGGGGTTGGCCAGCATTTCACCCCAGGGCCATGGTTATAATGGGGGGCTGAAACAACATTGGTCACCAATCACTTGCTGTCTTTTTAGAAGTTTCATTGGTTATGACACACAAAGAGGTGCGGGTTAGGGATCCCAGATACTCAGGGGAATACTTACAGTTTTCATCAGTTCCATTTCCAGCTTTACAGTTTCAGAACCAATAAGCCAACCCAGCAACACTGTAGGCAGCAACCTAGCTGGTTCACAGATATCTCACTCTCTCTTTCCCAGGCTTCTGTGTGTCCTCTCCAAGAGAGCCACTAGACCTTGCGAGAAACCAGCCTTTATCTTGGCTTTCTCTAGCAAGGTCCTCCTCCTGGGTCTTGATCTGGGGCCAGCTTCCCCCATGTTAGCCTATTTGTACATACACATTAGGGAGTTCACAGGCATATTTGCAGAGAAGCATTTTCAGACATAAAAACCATTAGAATCCCATTCTTTATACAAGCTTTCGGAGAGAAAAATATGCTTGAAGCGCATAAATGCGGCATTTAGGAGCATTCAGGCAGCATTTCCAAGTGCACATTGATCATAGTGAAAAATTAGCAGAGGGGAATATTGTGGAAAAAAAACACTTTTAAGAGCAAATGCCCATAAACTCTTGTGCAATATGAGCCACTATGAACATTTTTATGCTTCCCTTTCTGCCAGAGGTTCTGGTATTTTTTCAGCCACCTAATGTGCATGGACCCTCAGTGGCGGACTGACAACTCATGGGACCCCCGGGCAATAGGGGATCATGGGGCCCCTGTGTCCTTGCCCAAACTCAAAAAAGCCTATGAAAAAGGTACCAGGGGCATCTCATGGGGTCCCCTACTGACCCTGGACCCTCGGGCAGTGCCCGAGTTTCCAAATGGTCAGTCCGCCCCTATGGACCCTTAATCGTCTCATCTATGCCCAGCCTCAGCAATATGCACAATCCATCAAGGATTGGCTGCCCATGTTTTGAGCTTAAGGCTACAGTCAGATGTCCAAATAGCAGTGGATAGCATTCTGCATTCAGGAGCGGCTGGAAAACTGCTTCTGGACGCAGCAACACTTCTATTGCCGCATACAAACTGACTCATTAGCTGCGGCCAATTTGTATGTGGCTAAAACTCAGCAAATATGCTGCCCCTTGATACACATTGGCTGTGTCCAGGGTTGGTCAGAGGCTCTATTTGCTTGTAACCGCTCAGATAAATTGTTACATGTGACCAGCAGCAGTGCCGGCCACTGATTTGTACAGAATGTGAATCTCTGAGCCTCCATTGACAGCTGCTGTTGGTCACACACAGTGTGTGTATCAGCGTTTATAACTGCCAGCAAGAATCAGTAGAAATCAGATAGCTGCATAACAGCAGCTAGGGGCGGCTGACAGCAAGAATCAGTATATTCATGCCGGGGGCCTTCCCTAGCTGTTGCTATGCAGTCGTTAGAATGTAGCCTTAGTTGGTAAAAAATATGCATACAGTATTTTTGTATTTTAGCCATTGCTATTTTTATGAGTACACCTATTGTGTCTTAATTCACTGACACTGGGATGGCTGAACATCCCATTTTTAATTTGGTGACACGTACAATGGGAATTAAAATTCTGTCCTTTCTGTATATCGTTTTACATAAAGTTTTACTTAAAGTAGTTGCTTCACATTGCTTTTTTAACAGCTGAGATTATGAAAGCTTATAAACAATGGTCACATAGATCTTCCTGTATGATGAAAAATCTCTATTACTATTAAAGAACTGTTCAGGACTTGCCATACTATGCACAAGCTGAAAAAAACACATTTTAGATGGCCATACACAACCCAATAGTAAATAGCATCTTTTATTAATTTTGGTAATTGGACAATTTACCAGGTATAGTTCAACAAGTATGCAGCAATGGCACTTTAGGTTATAAAAATACTTTTTTTTGCAAAGTTCTTCTAATAATCTGGAACATTTCTGCACAGCCATTGCAAATCCCTTTAAAAATAAGAAAGGGTGTGACACTTCAGTGCATTATTTCAGTTGTTTATCAAGTCATTCCCTTTGGTTTCAATAATGTGTCTGTTATCTATAGGCAGCCTGTGAGCCTTTGAGGGGTTTGGTACAGTGATGATCACAATGAGGATGACCTCATCCTGCTTCATCACCTGATGATGAGACATCAACCAGTTGGTGGCTAGCCTAAGGAAAATAATAACTAAGTTCCCTACAGAACTGGCCTCATGAGGAGCATTAGGGTGCAATTCTTGCCCAAAATGAATTATATCCATAGCAGTAACTATTTTTTTCTTCCATGGTAAGGGTTGTCCACCCAATAAATGTACAATACCCCACATTTGTCAGCAGTACCAGAACAAGGTGCTTTAGCACCTAAAGCAAGAAGGCCAAATTATGCTCCTTAAGCTGGCATCATGAGGAGCATTAGGGTGCAGTTATTGCCCAAAATAAATTATGTCCATAGCATTTCCTATTTTTTTTTCGTACATGTTATAGCTGCCCACCCATTAAGCTCACAACACCCCACTCTTGTCAGCAGTACCAGGACAATGTGCTTTAGCACCTAAAGTGAGAAGGGCAAAGTATGCCCCATGAGCTAGTATCATGAGGAGCATTAGGGTACAATTCTGGCCCAAAATAAATTATGTCCATTTTCTGCCATGGTAAGGGTGCCTCACCCAGGGGCGGACTGATCATTTGGAAACTCGGGCAATGCCCGAGGGCCCAGGGTCAGTAGGGGGCCCCATGAGATGCCCCTGGTACCTTTTTCATAGGGTTTTTTGAGTTTGGGCAAAGACACAGGGGCCCCATGATCCCCATGAGTTGTCAGACCGCCCATGGCCCAACCATTAAACTTACAATACCCCATTTTTTTGGTCAGAAGTACCAGGACAAGCAATAAGGCCAAAATATGCCCCCTCCCATGAGTTGTGAACTGTTTTTTTAATATCAGATCTTTTTTATTGAATTTTGATTTTAAACATACATCCGCTTGAGTGGCACATTACACACAACAAACTAAGAAAGGTGTTCAAACATACAGTGACAATTCAAGTAATCCAAAAAGAGTCATTAGTTGTAGCTTCCGTAAGCATATGGACAGTGGTGTATTTAGGTTTTGTGCTGTCCTAGGCAACACAAAAATCAGACCCCCCCGCAGAGAGAGAGAAATACGGTCAGCTCTGGACATCCCTGGGAACGAGAGTCGGGCTCTGCATACACCATCAAGCAGCCCACAGCCTCTCTCGGATCCCACCTGATCCCCATGCCGCATGTGTCTCTTCTTTGTCCTTTTTTCTGGGGTGCAGTGCTGCCCCCCTGAAAAATGTAGCCCTAGGCAAATGCCTTGTTTGCCTTGTGGTAAATACGCCCCTGCATATGGACACCCATAATCAGCAGACATTGGCTCGTTTGCCAGCAATGTAGAGAACACCACAATAACATAAATTCACATCCATTAATTCATTTATATTTTCCAAGTAAAAAAGGTACACTGTATGAACATGAACCTGTAGCTATCTAATAAACTAAACCTAACCTAACTCGACTCACAACTTTAGCAGCAAAGGTTGCAGGTCCTGCCCTTTTTGCTCCCCCCTTCTACTAAATCACCCAAGGCAGTCACCTCTTTTGCCTACCCCTTGGCCTGGCCCTACTGGTCCATGTCTAATTTCAGTTCTGGATCTGATAGTTGAAATGTAATTCACTTACCAGCTCTGCTAGCAAAAGCTTTCCTTTCAATGAACGGAGGAATTCTTTATCCAAAGAAAAGCCATTGGAGCTCTCGTCTCCCTCCCGTCCACTCATCCCCAGGCAGGGGCTACGCCAACAGATTGACAGATAATAGATAATGGGGAGAAAAAGTAAATCAGGGATTAGGAAGAAAAAGGAGAGGAATTGTGATCTACTGGTAGCGTATGCGGGATGGAACAGTTTATTATTTTTCTGTTAGTAGAGGAATTGTTGGAATATTTGTTTAGTTTGTGGTGACCTAAGTAGAAAGGAAGAAAACACAATAAAACATTTCTGCACACTCAAAAGAACAGAGAAAGTTTTCAGCTAGTTGGGGACTATAAAAAGAGAGGAAGTTATTCAATGTAAATTCAATTGTTGTGGGGTGTTAAAGATTAGTAGGATTGAGGTAGAGGAAGCAGGGTGATTATGAAAAGTGAGTTTCTTCCAGAGAATCTCCTGATGTGTGAGCAGGGTGACGAGGATGAACTGTGTCTGAAAATGCAACTGATCCAGATTTGTGTTACAGGAAGAGGGGGAGGGAGAGAGACTAGGGGAGGAAAAGAGAAGGAGAGACGCTCACAAAACTAAAGAATTTGGTGGAATTAAAGCTAATATAAGTTGATTGAAATTGTATTGTTACATACAAAACTCTCACAGCTAATGCAAAGCAAAATGATTCTACAGAAGCAAACAAAAAATGTGGTGCTAAAGAATATCTGACTCTAAGAAACATGAACACACATAATTAGGCATACCTAATGCACGTGACATGCCAAAAAAAAAAAAACCCAAAGGGAAGCAACAGGAACAACAGTCAACAACTATATAGTATGCATTACAAATGAGATAATTGATCTACTGGTTTTGAGAATGGCAGCAAATCAGGCTGATTCATACCAGTGGATATCTGAGTCATTTGGCCCCACCATTATGTTTTATTCAAATATGTTTTAAATGGCTCAGAACACAAAAGCAAGCAAAGTGTTTGGTTTACTGCAGACTTGATGGAATGATGCCTGCAGCGTCTTACAGGCTGTGACAATGTAGCAACCATGAAAGAGTATATCCCCTGTCCCTGGAAGACATCCATGTCATGCCTGTAGGGTGATATATATGAATTGAAGAGGGGAATTGTTACACATTCATTTAAACATAGTTACATCTTCCAAGATACCTCCTGGAGCTTTGTAATTGCACACATAGACTGTAATCAACATTTTTTGGCAGGGAAGTTTTTTGGTTGGAAAAAAACCCCAGGATTAGTGGGTTTCTAGAGGAACTTTTTAGCTGTAAAAAACACTCTAACGCTGAAAACCTTGGCAAAACGCCATAAGGTTGCAGTAAAACGCCACAAACCAGCATTTTTGGACTTTTTTTGATCAAAAAAAATAATTTTTTTCTCTTGGTTAAAAAATGCAAACGTCACTAATCGTAGCTAAACACTAATGCAAAAATGCTCAAAAAAGCTGAAAAACTCATGTTTTACCATGACTTTACACAGCTAACGTTACCAGCGTTATCAAAATGCCCAGTGTGCATGGAGCCTAACTAGTACTCCAAACGTATGTCCTACAGCACTCAGTGGACTCTTTGAGCAGGGAAGCTCAATCCCATCCCTTTGCAGACATGGACTGGCTAAATCCCATCCATATGTATGCAAGGATCAGCTTTCTCCCCTTTGATGTTCCTGTACATTGCAGGAAGCCTCATACCTTACTTCTGGAAGTCTACTCCATTGTAACTCCTCACACTGGTCACCACACCTGAACGTCATACTGTCCTCTCTCATTGTAGCTAATTTCGTATGACTACTGCAAACCTTGCTTTCAGCCAAACTTCCATCCTCCATCTGGCACTTTATTTTCAACAGCATAGATATGTGGTTAGGGTTCATTTACTTTTGTGGTTGAGGTGCAGTAAAAACAAGTGGTTGCGCCTTGGAATAATTGTACCCCCGTCATATTTTTGGTGAGTAGCACCACGGAATGCAACCAATTCCAGTAAGTGGGGCTGCGCTGCACACACATGCACTGCACATGGTTGCTGCGTGGTGGTGTGTCATTTACAAGGTTAAAACAGAAGGTGAGAAAGGACATATTGCCTCCACACCACTTGTCAATGCCTTTGAAAAGCAATCCACCATCACTTTTCAGAAGGGCAGCAAGAGCTGCTGTTTGCGTAAACTCAGCCTAGGCCACTAGAGACAAGGAGCACACAACGTACCTCAAGCTTCAAAATGTTTACTAAACCCTTCTCAATGTAGAAAACAACATCTTTATATGTACATGAGGCACTCATTTGAACAGTAGTAATGATTACAAGAGGAATTACACTTGGTTCACACTAGTGCGGGTCCCATGGCCGCACATGCAGGGGCACTCCAGCCCATTCATTTGAATGGGCTGCTGTGCTGTGTGAACTGCAAAAAAAAAAAAAAAGGTGCAGGGAAATCACATGGTCATTTTGAGCCACGATCGCGCTCTGGAATGAGGTGTGTGGGGGTGCCATTCAGAATGAATGGCAACCCCGCACGTCTCGCAAGAAAAAATGCAATGCAGCTGCGGGTGGTTGCGGATGCAGGAATTGCATCGATTCCCACACCCACAACCAGCCCACAGAATGTGGGCTCGACTTTTTTGCCTTTTTTTCCATCTGGTGATCCTGACAGTAACCACGTCCAGCCAATCTCCTCATTTCCATTACATATTGGGGGGGAAGGTTGTAGTTCACAGAGGATAACTAGAAAGGCAGATTACATTGTTTGCATATCCAGTTCACTGCACAGGATGTTGCAAGGGCTCAGCTTTTCTAACAGGGTCAACTGTACTGAAAGTGTGATTAAACCTATGTACTGTTAAATAAAATGTAGAGGCCTCATTTACATATTAGATTAATTGCTATTTAGATTTTTCCTCAGAGTCCTCATTTATGAAAAAGAAGCTCATCGTAATAACAATTACGCTGAAAGGGTGGCTCCATTGCTTTCCAGAGTCTCTCTGGAGCCACCCTTACATGCATGCTCCCAGTATTACAGCTGTGCTTGAAAGCCAACACAGACAGCCTGCAAACCACAGCACTGCTCTGCTTGCAATTCTCAGAAGGACAGCTGGTTTTACTCCTAGATGTGTGATATGGACAGTGCCCAGTCCCCAATTGGAAGTTCAGGAAAGCTGAGCAGAGTCAGACTGCAGGGGTCAACTTGGTAAAAAAAAAATAGCACAATAAGAAATCAAAAAAATTTAAAGTGCAACTATTACAATTCTGGGGGGATAATAGTTAAGGGTTTAATACTATTTTGAAATGAAAAAAAAAACCCACTATATATATATATATATATATATATATATATATATTATATATAAAAAAAAAAGAAAATGATTGCAGCCATGACATCTAAGGACTAGTAAGCTGAAATGCGTAACATATTCATTCTTGGATTTAGATTTTCATTGAATGTAATAACAAATAGTTGGTATGCAGGTGTTTGGTTTGAAAAATAAAGGTGCGTGCACATTACCATAAAAAAAAAAATAAAAAATAAAGCCACAGTTCTTTTTTGTTCACAGACCTGTATGAAGGCATATTGTTTTCAATTGGAACATGCACACAGGTGCATAAACATGCTCTGCGTTCAGATCCATACCCAAAAAGCCTGCCTCTGAGAACACGTTTTATGTATGTACATGTGTAAGCACATGTATATGCATATACATAGATGAATAGATGCAAAAACGTGCATTCTGGGATTGAAAACAAAGCGGGAGGATACACTACTTGAATTTCAAGCATCTCAATGCATACATATCTTTACACTTTTAAATGCAAGCATTTTACTAATCATTTATGCAGGAACCCTTGTGCCAGAAAAGTACGGCCATGTGCATGCAGCCTAATGCAGGGTAGACACTACAAGTTTTTTTCATTCAGCCCGCTGGGCTGAGCGAAAAAACTGACAAATCGCTTTACTAGCATAAGCGATGTTAGTACAGCGACCTACTCCGCTGATCTATTGTGTTCTGACAGGGGGACCAACCCCCCTCCCTGCCAGGACACACTGACTAGCTCTTGCTTAGTGATCAGATGCCAGTCGGCTGCTGGTTTTCTAGCATGCCCGTTCGATGGAAGCAGGATGTTAGGCTGGCTACTGTCAGACAGGCTGCTGTATACACCGGACGAATGTTGGCCAGTTTCTGTTGGACCGTCTAATATTTATTTGGCTAATGTGTACCAACCTTTATGGGTTGAAAATAAATAGAGTGCACACTGCAATTGTTCCTGAGCTTAGCAAATGAGGGGAAGCTCTGCTGACTTTCATCATCCAATCATGTACAAGCAAAAATGCTGTTTTTTTTGTTTCCTTGCATGCGATTGGGTATTCTTTGCAAAGAAAGCTTCACCTTATTTACTAAGCTCTGGAGGAACTGCACTTTCAAAGTGCACAATCTATTTGCCTTTAGTAAATGAACCCCATAGAAGTGTTTACCTTCTATGCAAATGTAGCAACCTGGGAACTGCAGATAGATATACCTGGGAATTCTTACTGGATTACATGATCCATTTATTTATTTATTTCAGGTACTTATATAGCGCCGTCAATTTACGCAGCGCTTTACATATATATATTGTACATTCACAGCAGTCCCTAACCGTCAAGGGGTGTACAATCTAAAGTCCCTAACTCACATTCATACATACACATACTAGGGCCAATTTAGACAGGTATATATGTTTTATGTCTCAATTAGTCTAATAATGCTTAAGGAAAATTATATGTACTGCAGAGGCGTAGCTGGGGGGGGGGCAGGGGGGGTACATATGTACCCGGGCGCCAAGGTACAGGGGTGCCAAAATGAGGCTTACAACCATACGGTGTATTTGCCGTGAGGCAAACAAGGCGTTTGCCTAGGGTGGCACTTTTTAGGCGGGCGGAGCGGTGACACCACCTCCCCTTCCAATGGAAGGGACACTTAGTACAGGGGCGGGCAGCGGGCAGGCGGGCAGCAGGCTGCTGTGTCTTACCTGGCTCCGTGTCCCAGTCCCACGACGATCCAGTCCAAGAGGCGCTGCTGGAG